AAACAATTTTTTTTCCCTTGCTTTATGAATGGCGACGGCAAAATGTTATGATCTGACGTGCACGAAAATCCGTTTTTCCTGAAAATGAGATATCATTCTATATCGCCATGATTTTTTATTTCCACAAAGGCAATGAAAATTTCCCGGCCGTTGCATAGTGTTATCCGGTCGCTGATTACAAAGTCTTTAAGATAAACCCCAGGGTTGTAAATAAACATTGAAAACGAAAAAAATAAATAAACTTAGGTTGAATGGCTTCAAGAGGTTTCATGCAGGCGTTTTCAGTTAAAAAAGATTTGAAACGATTTTACCGGAAGCAAGAGACCAGCCCAAAGAGCTGGAAAGATTTTTTTCAACTGTTTCCTCATTTATGGATGGTCGGTTTTTTTGGAGAATTAGGATACGAGCAAAACAATCTTTTAGTCAACTATTTATGTTAGTGAAATTCGCAAATCAAATATTTCTCACAATACTCAGATTCAGAAGGCTGTTATTTCGCAATTCTTGGAACGAGTACAAAACGTACTTCTCCGTTGAAGTAATAGAAAAAAAAAAGAAACTGAAAGAAAGCAAAAAGCTTTCACGTACGGTTAGGAAAATATCTTGCTAAGATTCATAAAAGACCATTGGATTAATAATTCTATTTTAGACCGCTACCTGACAAGATGCCATAAAACGCATGGTGAGAAACGTCAAAAGGAGGGCACCGTATGGATGAAGACCATTGCAAATTGCATCCTGTATTTAATTCTTCCAGTTTCATGGCAGATTACATTTGATGGTAAACAGTGATAAAACCAACTAAAGAAAATCATATGATACGATTGAGAGCACTCGAAGGCATATTCGGTGAAGCCAAGGCTTTTAAAAAGTGGACCTCTCGATTTTAACAATGGTGATAGACTTTCAGAGATTGAGAAGAGTCGTGTAAGTTCTGTTGCATCCGAAGGTTGAAAACGCCCGGATGTAAACACATCTATCGAAACACCCTTATCTACCTTGTTTTATCTTTATGAGAAAAAAGGACCTTCTTAAAATCAAAATCCACTTAGTTAACTTGACGGTTTTGTATTCTCAGTAAGATGGAGTAATGTTTGAACAAATAGGTAATTTAAGGCCATCCTTAGTCAGCAATTATTGCTCGGACAACATGCTACGGACGCTGCAACCGCTAAATTAAAAAGTTAAAATAGAAATAAAAAAATCTTCAATTGTGATTTGATACAGCGGCCGGCAGTTACAAAAATACTTCCCACGATCTAAATAGCCGTAAGGTAAGGGATCGTAACAAATGACGAAAAATTTGGATGGAAAACAACGTAATTCCATCAAGATCATGGCAGAATTCTACGAGACATCTGTTAACTTTCCATGGTTTGAACTAAATATTAAAAGCTTAAGCATTTGTTCCCTGTCACGAAAGTAGAGCATCAAAGCTATTTTTTATGCATTATTGTTACAAAATGGATAGTTTTTCATTTCTTCAAACAGTGCAGTATACCGTATTTCCTCGAATGATATAGCCGGGGGCGATTATTCTAGGGAAGGCGATTATTTCAAGTATTGCTCACTAGAAGTCGTACCCTAAATATCTTTATTTTATTTTCCCATTACATCAAAAAATAATCACATCAAATAAACTGAACATTGGCATTTAAAGTGTTCCAAATTTGGTTCCTTCATTAATTTTCAATGTCAATGTCGTCGGCGTCAGAGCTTGAATCGTCACTGATCAGTTGTGCTGGATCAGACTCCTTCTTGGCTTCATCCTCCAAGTTTACCGCTATGGGTAACCCTTGCGAGTAACCTAGAGGGGTAGTGGGGGGGATTATTCGAGGGAGGCGGTAATTTTAAACATTTCCGACAAAGGGGGACGATTATTCAAGGGCGGCGATTAAAGGGACGGCTGTTGTTCGAGGATACACGGTACTTATACTTTAAATAAAAATTAAGGTGCGCTTTGGCCTGCGTAGCTAGCGTTTGTTTTAGTACGTCTCCTCGGTTCAGCTTTCGGGCGGCTGTATCTCTCACTTCAAAAACCACAAAGAAAAAACGCACCAGAATACCCCGCTAGCAACGCAGGCTAGGCGCACTAAAGGAAAATATAATGCTTTGACTTTTGCGATATGTGGCGTGTAGCCACGGCTGCTTCATAATAAAAAAAGCTGAAAGATTTGACTAGCAACGGTGTTGCGGATCCATGAAATAATAGCCTGTGAACAGTCTCTCTGTTGGGCGAAAAAAATAGTTCCTCGCTCGACCAAAGGCCTGTTCATACGTTTACTCTAGTTTAAGGCAGATTAGCACTGAAAACAACTACGCAACATCGACGATCAGCGATTTTAACCAGACCACAACCGAAGCCACTTATCCTCGACTTTTCGACGGAAAACTACTTCAATTCCTAAAAGAAATTTATTTATTTATCGTAAATCGGCGATTCTTTTTGTTGTGTTTCATACAAATTTGCGAACAAATTTGAACTTAAATTTAAACGTGACTTTGAAAACTGCCATCAAATTAAGTTTAATTATTCACTTGCAGTCTATTAAAGTTGATTTTTGCCTAAAAGACTAAATTAACCAGCATCTTTCGCTGAAAAATATAAAAATAAAAATACAAAATTTGATAAGCCGGAATAAGACACTTCCCAGTTTCTGACGTAGCAGTTTTTTATCTCGTGAAAAAGACAATACCGCCACCCGGTCCCAAATCACGCAAAGCGTTGTGCGTTTTCAGTCACAATTTACCATACGTGAGTTCCCACGCTACACAAACTCGAAAACATCTTATCACCAATTAACTTAGGGACTGGTCAAAAAGTATAGGGGGGGGGGGGGGG